CGGAGTCGCGGTCCGAGAGCCATGGAGTCTCGTTCACGCGCCGCTTTGAAACGAGGACGCTTCCTCTGATCACGCGCGTTCATTATCATCCGCGGTTCTCCTTCCAACGTGACGGATTTTCCATTCTTCTCGCAAAATCTCTCTCAAGCGTGGTGTCACGTCCCGCTTGAATGGCATTTCAAAAAGATCTTTGATTTCTATCGCGAGTATCGTCGACTTTTCACGGGACACAGTGTGTTTTGTCCCGTCTTCTCTCGCACACGGACAGAAGATTCTTGTTTCTGTTTTGTCAGACAGCCCAGAGGAGATTGACGTTTGAGGTTTGCGGTGAGTTCCTTTTCATTCGTTCCTTTTTCCAAGCTGGTTTTCTTTCGATACAGGGCATTCGTGATCGAGATGCCATGGAGATATGGCAGGAATGTTGATATTGGAGCTACCAGTTTAAAGGTTTCGTTGCGGTTCGGTGAAATAAATTGGACGTAATGTTTGTGCTTTGGAAATGAAATGTGCGTTTGGGCCGTCTGTTTGCTTAGGAGTAAAGACTCATTAAACACATATACGTTTGTAACAATATATTTAAACGTGTACAGTTGAGTAAGGTATAGAACAGTTTAAAATTTTTTTCTAATTTATCGAGTCTACGCACGTGGAAATTTATACTACGTACTACCATAACGATGTAAAAATATATAATAAACAGCGATAAAAATGACGCTAAATATACAGTCGTGAGGTATTATAGCATAAAAACTAGGTATTGAATAAGAAGTAAATAAGAGTGTAGCGAAACGTTTCTAGTATTATCGCCGTTTGAGAAACGCTGACTTACTGCATATTGTTTTTCTGTTGCAATGAAATCGCCGGCTGAATCGCGAAACGTCGATTTACGTAACTTAATCGTCATTTTTTGCTAGTGGCTTTATACCTTTGCTATTTCATCCATTCGTTCCATGCCCGTGATCTTTGCCTCTTTGGAGCCAAAGGCGATAAAAACATTCAACTTGCAAGATCAAGTAACAAATAACAGTTTCATTCAAAAGAGTATAATGCAGGTATACAAGTGCTGTGTTTTCACTGAAGAAACGTCACGTGTCAAAATGTAATCTTTAAAATCGATTTTATTTTACCGTGACTTTACTGATTTTGTTACTGTAACATTTTTTTTTTCTGTTAAAAAATTCCGCTATTGTAAAGAATATATAAAATTCTTATTGAAACTCGTAGATTCTTTACAAAATACCTTTGTACATTTTGAGCTCGTTGATATCTTCATTTCAAAAGAGATGAACAATCTGATTCGTATTCTTAACTTGATCAATATTTGTATAAAGCGAGAGACTGTTTATATTTTTTATACAAGTTTTACGAAATCAAACTAACGTTACAGAGAACTCGAGTGTATAAAAATAAAGTATGTAATCGTACTTATGAAAAATAAATATCAATGAATTTAGAAACTCGGGAAAGAATGATCTTAAGGGAGAATACTCGTGAATCACAATGTTCGTCTTTCTGAACCAATTAACTTTCGCCCTTTTATGTACAGTGGGCAGTCGAGCAAAAGACAATTAGTACTCGCGTGTACGACTCTCATAATTTTTTTTTATTAAACATTTTTTATTACAATCATCTGTTCTGATATTCATTATTCTCGTCAATTCATAGAATTCCCATGAAATCTTTTTATGTTGCATATCACTCATTTATTCAATTTTCTTCCTTCCAACACGCCATATATTTATTTCTCATAACAGCAAAAATAATTGACATATTAAAACGAATTTCTTCTAAGAATCGTACAGACTTGCGAGCAACACAATTCACGAGAACGAACGATTAATTAAAATTAGTGTTCTTCACGCGAGCTTCATTCTAAGTTCTCTGATTAAGTTCTTATCTCATCGAGAAAAGTCTAATAACGCTTTCATCTACGTGGTACAATAGTGCTCGCGATATAGAAATGATTTACGATTGACGAGCGTTATTTTTTTTTTTCTCTGACGAATGCATCGGAGCCGAACATGTCAGTCGCCCCTTTCCAATCGGCGAGTCGCAATTTCACCGTTTCAAAACACGATCTCGTATCCTCCTACGATCGTAAAAATCGTTACCAAGCTGCATTGCTCGTAAAGAATATCATTTGTATGTTAACTTTCTATTGGACATTAAATCACAAGATCATAAAATTTTAGGATTCTTAATTACTTTCTTTCGCAATTTTCATCATTAATTCCAATCGCAAATACAAACTTCATCTCTGAGAATAAAATTAAATATTTCGAGTTTTTTTTTTTTATTTTAATTTAACGTAACAGTCATCTGTGTATAGTAGTAGCGATATCATTTGAATTAGATTAATTCTGAAAAAATAATAGAAAGTTTTTGTGTTCAAAATAATAATATCGCTTTATGGAAAACTCACGATCCATTAATAAATAGTTTGATAAACGATGTCAAAATTTATTGTGGAAAACACAAGTTCAAACACTCTTTCAATTTTCTTGTTGAGATTTCAGGAGTATTTCATATTAAAATTTTATAAAATGACCATTACGCGTAGAATTGGAAGAATCGGAGCATAGTAACGCAAGTAGCAAACCAGTTTAGCCAGTTGAGTGTATATGTTATGATAAATCAGTTCGATAAAAATGGCGATTGTTCTTTCTAGTTCTAATGTAAACAAAGAGTTCTTATATCTTGGAAAAAAAAATAGACTTCGAATCCATAACGTTCTTCGTCTTCCTGTCCTTAGGAAGAACCAATGTGTAACCACTCATTTTATTTACATCCTGTATATATAAGGTGACACAAATATTACTTAACCATTCTGAAGATCAACTGTTACTTAATTCGTTGGAGGATCAAACAATTATAACAAATATAACAAATTATAGTATCGTGCGAATCTTTAGAATTTTCTTTCATGGCTCCAGTAATAAAAAAAAAGAAAATAGAATTGGATAATATAAATTGAAATGTAATGAAATGTAATTGTTATGCAGACTGACATTTAAAATAATATATAAGGATTAGGTATATTGGAAATTATTATTTGGCTCTGAAGAGACATCATTGTTCCATTTAACGGTTGAATTAGCTAAATTATCTTACAATGATTATTCTCAATATAATATTATTATATTTGATACTTCATCGTGGACAATACTATTACTCTTCATATTTAAAAAAAAAAAAAAAAAAAAAAAAACAAAGAATCGAGATAGTCTTCTTAGAAATAGTGGTTTTAGATTGACAAAATGTTTCCCAAGTGTTGTAAAATATTTTTCCTTTTGCTACATAGAAACTTTCTCAAAGAAGTTTATTATCTGAATAAATATATTCTGACTTGATTTGTGTTAAAATGTATTTCAGTACGATAACTATATACGATAATTCACGGGTCGTTAACAAGTCATGCAATGTAGAGTAAGCATTAAATAATCGTAAATATGTATGCTTTTTTTTTTTGTATAGGACTGGAAAACTTCTTATAAGAAAAAGATATCGTACAAGTCATGTTTTCAACTTCGTTGAATTCTTACCGTAGCTTCATTTAAATTTTCTAAACCTTTTATAACACAAAATATGCAAAATACGAACATCACGATTCTCTCTAAGCTACTGATCAGGGTATTTGTTTTCACACTGTAGTGCTAAAAAGTCGAATTAGGATCTCGGTTTATTATCCAGGTGTAGTAATAGGCTTCAAGTGTAAATAACATATTTATTTCAGTGTGTACTGTTACGAATAACACAGAATAGAAATTTCTAACTTATTATTAACTTTGAAACATGAAAGTATATTTTGTCAATAAAGTGCAAATGTTTGTAATTATGATTGAAGAAATGGATTCTGAAAGATTTCATCCTTTCTTTTATAAATACGATAATTTACTATATAATACATACATAAATAGAAAATTTTACTACACCGCTGTTTGTCCAAACTAAATTTACTAAGTCATATTTTACTTCTTGCATTGTTCTGTGATATTTTTAAAGATATTTTTCAAAGAGTAAGAAATAAAAAATACATCTAATATTAAAAATAAGAAATTCTGTTGAAAATTAAAAACATGACCCGACATGATTCTTTAAATAGTTACCTTTGGATTATAAATGATTTTGTGGTGAACTACTTTTAATTTTGTATTTAATTTCGCATTTAATTTTGTCTTGTACTTCACGTTTTCTGCGATAGGCGTCAGCCGACAATTCTAAAATACCTAAGTTTATCGAATTGAATTTGGTAATTTCCCAAAATCAGAAAAGTCGAAATTAAAAAATTGGCGAATCAGGAGAATACTCCAACTCGTTCGATGTTTAATAATCCAAAATATCAGATCCTCATTGTGTGTTCTGTGTTTCACAGAAAAGGGACATATTCCGATCGTCGGCTTATAAACCGCGGCATAGAAAGTGTTTTTTTTTTTTTTTTTTTTTTTTTTAATTTCAGTGACAGGCGGCGTTCGATGCGAATCTCCCTTCACCATGGGATCTCGAATCATCTGTTTCAGGTCCCCGCGTGTCGGAGGGCCCCTCTCCCAGTCCTTAGCGATGATCCCGCCAACGATGCATGGCCATGAATTCAATCAGCCTCTGTCGAGGGTGGTTATGGTCCGTAAAACGGATCAAAGGACGTTCAGCAAGGGTAGACGAGGTGGTGAGCCTCTGCTGGAAACGGTTACCAGGGAGACCGTCGAGCTTTTCAACGGCGGCCGCGCCGAGAGGAAGTACACATCCGAAACACGAGACATCGTCACGCCGAAGTCGAACAGGTACGCGTCATTCTCTCTTAATTGCACTGGCTGAAAGGGAAAACCCGGTGAAATCAGGAACTGCTTCCTGCAACGTGAACGAAGTGATACGTTCGACGCGCGTGTATCCCACGAGACATTTCGTTTCCGCAACGCGCGGCGAACATGTTCCTCTCCGAAGAGGCGTAAGAGCACCGTTTGCAACGCAACAGCGAACATTGTTGATACAACGAACCGGTTCGCGGCTCTTAGAAATGCCGCGTTGAACGTATCGCTTGTTTCTGGGTAAGAATGTAATTTATGTATTTATTTTTTTTTTTTTTTCGAGGATGGAAAAATTTACAGCGTTTTACATGTTTTCGGGCCGCGGACTCACTTTCACGATGGTGGAGTAAAAGTTTTTCAACGAAACGCAAGAATTTATTTTTCTTTGATAGGGGGAATGTATAGATATTGGAACGAACAAGTTAGTAGCTAGAATCTTCAAGTAAAAATAACTGTGGGCATCTTTAGAAAATACTTTGCAATCTCCTTCAGAGTTTTGCGATCAATCGATTAATCTGAAGGTTAGAATATCCGAAGGAATAAAATGTAAGAATATTACAATACATTTCTCGAAATGAATAGAGGACCACTTTGGCAAGAATTTTTGTTAATTGATAAATTTTGTGAACACTAGCGCGTGTAATTTGATAATCGTAAAAAAATTGTAAAGTTCAATGAAATTAATTTAGACATGTGTACTTCTTGTATTAATTTCATTCACGTGTTTATAACAATAGTAAATTTGTTGTAGTTTGCACAATTTTATGACGTCCAACAAATTGAGTGTAATTGCAAACTTTTAGTGAAATAGTGAATTATTATTCGTAATAAAGTTTTTGGTCTTATGGGTTTAAGTTTGAAATAGATCAAAATTTATATCAGTTTTGTTTCTTAATTGTGATGCAGATTCCTCGCGTATGTGAATATTACACGTGTAAATATTAGTGCAAGATGCCCCGAGAGAAATCCGTAAAATACGTACTTTCTCGCTGAGCTTCGGATAAGGGACAGACATTCGTTTACTTAGGATAGGGGAAGTACAAGTAAATATTTTTATAGTGTCTCCGCTTTAGTACACGAATTTTACGCGTTACTTCTTCTCCAGACGCAACTTTCATTTAATTTTTTTTTGAGTACTGGTAATAAATTCAATCTCATCAAAATTTTTTTCAACAATTTTTTAGATCGTCGATTTAGATAATCTAATGAAAGATCCTCGTCTTTAAATTTTTGTATTTCAATCTTGCTCGTCTTGCTGTTTTCCTGTTCGATTTATTCGATTCTTTCTTTTTCTTCTTTTTCTAGTTTCTTTCGCACCATGTTTCCAATTTTTCTAGCGTAAAAGTCTTCGCGCAATAAAAACAGTTGAAATCTGTTAAAGTAGAATGGCAAAAGGTAGCACTTTCACTGCGAAGAAAGTCGACAGCTATTTCAAAACCAGTGTTTTTCATTTAAATGCAAATGACACTTTTGCGGCAATCGTTTAATTAAGGAAATCTAATTGCCTCTCACTTTCTTTCGTTCGGAAAATCAGCATGATTCAATTCGTCCATTCGAGCTGAACCTTCGAGAGACCCATTCGCGCAAGCGATTAATCTTGCAAATGTGCGATTGAGAGCCAAAGCAAGGAACGTTTTCACCACGTTGAATTCCCTTAACTACTCCTAAACTTGGCCGGATCGTAGCGTGAATGATAATTCTCTCTGAAACACGACCCCCCTCCCCCCCCCAATGTGCAAATTGATTCGCGGTCGGATGCGTTTTCACGCGTTAATTTCACTCGGGACATCTTGAACTGGCGTAGGCTAAATCTAAGCAGAAATCGGAGGAGGAGGATATATATTCCGCTTGTGTATATCGTAAATCGTTACCCCTCGTTGTAGTATGCCCTCGCTCACCGTTAACGGAACGAAAAAGAAGGTGGTCGGCTTTGTCGACCAGCTGTCGCCCGAAAGGTATTCACCTATGGTGTGCAGACTTGTAGCCAAGCCAAACGCCGATCCTAACGAAGCCGAACGAGAGTGCTCGACGATTCGATGGTATTAGCATAAGGGAAGAACAAGACGAAAAAAAGGAAAAAGGAGAAAAAGGTTCGCGCGCTTTTCAGGGCTTCGTGAGGGTCGGTGAATGGCCTTAGTATTTAATAGCAATGACTTAGTGTGAGACGAATGCGAAGCCGAGAGAAAGTTTGTCTCGTTTTTTTTTTTTTTTTTTTTTT